GAGGTGTGGTCCAATGGCTAGGGGAGGTATTGGAGACCAGTGGCATCACGCTGACTCCAGGAGCCCTGCTCCTTCTTGTTTCAGTTCCTGGGAGCTAATAAGCAGCAGCTGCAGGAAACCTGAGCTGGAAAGCATTGTGCAGCTTTCCTTCTGTTTAAAAATATGGCCTTTTTTTTCCCCTTACTGTGTTTATGTTTTTATACCTTGTAGAACATCACTTGTAGGGCAATCTAACAAAAACAATAGTGTGACAAGGGGACAGGTCCAGGTTGGACAGCGGTGCAGGAAACACCTGTGAGCTCAGTGCCATCCTTTCCTCCATGGCCACACCGCTGTGAGCCCTGTCGCGGCCTGTGGGGCAGCTGCTGGCCCTGAGTTAGAGCTTCCACAAACTCCTCTAGTGCTGGATGTGAAGTTTAGCTGATTTTGACCAACTCTGCAGTGAAAACTTGGGAAAGAGGTTTGTTTGCCCGCTCAGGAAGGTGGCTGTTTTGGGGGTGGCTCTGCAAGCTGCTCCCAGCGGGTGGGTCTGTGCTTTGTGGGACCCTCTGGCTGTAGATGGGAGGTGTGGATGTGTAGGAAGGTTCTTGGGTTTTTTTTTTTGTTTCTTTCTACAGAAAAAATCTGGGTCATTCAAATAATTTGCCTTTTCCCTTGTGCTGACAATTTAACAGCCTTTTTAAAAGCTTTGGTTTCTCTCAAGTGCGCTCGCCCCATACTTGTTTTAATTCTTGTGTGGAGGCCTGGAGCTTAACAATTATTTTGCTTAAGCTCTCTGAGACTTGCCATAAAACTTTTTTTTTAATTTATTTTTTTTTTTAACACACACATGCTAATGATCCCCATCAGATCATATTGTTAAACAGGGAATAAAGTGATTGTACCACGATGACATTATTTTAAAAAAATGTTAAAAGCAGGCCAGCAGAGCCCATTTCAACAGTTTTGTTCTGAAATAATTTGCACAGATTTGTTAGAGTTAATTTGTTGAAAAGTTCAGTGTTTGTACAGGCAAGTCCTGGTTTCCACACTGAGACACAAGAAGCAGGAGAGGAGCGAGTGGGTGTCCAGCATTTGCAGAAGCAGGATGGTGGGAATTTTCCCTCCCTCTTACCCTCTCCCCCCTCCCAGCTGCCCGGTGCAGGAATGTAAAAGCAGTGTCAGAAGGCTGGGAAAGTCAGCTTTGGATTTTTGTGGACTCCTCGCAAATCAGAGGAACTGTCTGGCTCAAATCTGCATTTAGGACCAAGAGAAGAGGATTTCCTGCTATTTAGTTGCTTGAGGAAGGAAAGGATTTACCTCTCTGCTGTAGCAGGACTAAATTTTTCTCCTTTTTAATAAGAATACCATAGTGTAGGGCAGCAGGAGTAAACCTGCGAGAGCAATCACAGCTCTCCCTCCTCTTCCCTGAGATGATGCAGCTCCCCCCTGCCCAAGCATCCTCCTGTCACAGCTCCCAGCCCCAGCAAGGGCTTGGCATGTCCCTGCACTGTGAAAGAGGGAGCCGTGGAGGGGGCGGCTGCTGCGACGTCGCTCCCTGGGCCGGCTGCTCGGCCACCATCTGGATCCAGTTAGCTCTCTCGGCAGTAGGGCTGAGTCTCATTTCCTCCAACCAGTAATGTTATATAGGCAGTGATCCTGTTCTGCCCTAACATAATTGAAAATTATGTGTATTGTAGACTCGCAGCGCTGAAATGTAGACTTGTAAAAATCTGTGGCTCAGGTAGCCTGTGGAGATTGAATTTGGCACACAATGAAGCTTTTATGTAAAGTAAGAATTATAAGCCACCACATCAATATTGTGTTACAGGCATGACAATTCTTGGATGAGGAGGCCTTGAGTCAGGCTCGTCACCTTAAACAATGCTAATGTTTCATACTTTATCAACAGGGCTGGCATTTTGAAAGCCAGCAAATTGGACTTTTTTGCTTTTGCAAACATCCTGCCACTGAAGCTGTGGGTTCACTCGCTTGATGTGGGCACTGGCTGTGGGCTCTGGCCCCCTCTGCTTATCTGACAGACAGAACATCTCGCCCTTGGTGGGGCTGGGAGGCTGCTCTGGATCCTGGCCACTTGGTAGAGCTCTTGGAAGTTGCTTTATCGACCCTTGTGTTTTACTGCTTTCCCTTGGGTCTGGTTATTTGATTTTATTTTGTCTCCCACTGGTGTATTATCCACTGGTAGAAATGGAAGCTGTCCAGTCCGTGCTTGTGTGCAAAACTGAGCCCTCTGGGTTTGGATTGTTCCTGCTGGGCTTCATGTGCATGTCCAAGAGAAGCTGTTAGTACTTTAGCCTTTGCACTGTGAGACTTGGATCCTCTTTACCAGGGGTGGGTAAGAGAAGGGCTTTACTGAGAGTCCAGACTAAGGGCTTTAAAAGGAGAAAAACAAAGTGCAACAGTAAGATCTTCTGAAACGTTCATCTTGCCCTTAGGTCAGCCTGGTGTAGGAGCTGAAAGTATGCACTGAAAGCACGGGCTGTTGTGGGATAGAGGTGGAGTGGGAGCAACCATGCCTTCTTGCTCTGTTTCTTCTAATGGAATTTATTGCTAGTAAAAACCAGCAGAACTGACAGTCCTGAAGGCTTTGTAATCCCTGCAATAATTACTGACTGGATGGGGTCTGCTGTGAGCTCACCCCTGCTGCTTGTCAGTGCCTCTGCCCTTGGGGCAGTCTCAGAGAAGCCCACATGTTTCTCAGCCTGTGTTTTAGGACAGCAGCTGACCTGAGCTCCTCACAGGCTGTCATGGTTGTAGGATATTCCAGGGTTGCTTGTGACTGTGGAATGGCCATAGAAGAATGAAGGTGATGAGGGTTTTTTTTTTTTGTGGGTAATGGCTTGGTTGTTCCCTGAAAAGCCACCGTTTCAGCTGTCATGTTCTTGTAGGGGCTTCAGCTGTGGCAGCAGTAGCTTCTTGCTCTCCAAAACTGTTGTGGACTGTGAAGCAGAGTCATGCACACTTTGTGAAGAGTCATGCATCCTGTGAGGACGTTCTCCTTGGAAGAAGGGAAAAAAACTTTACTGGTTGTCTGGAAAACCTGAGGAAGCCAATGGCAGCTGTGACCCCTCAGGACCTGTTCTGCAAATTCATGCACCCCTCCATGTGGTGGTGTTCTGATTGCCATCTAAGAAAACTGGTGGGCTTTTGAAAATGTAGCAGTTGACTTGTTTAATAGTGCCATCTGAAAATCTGTAATGTATCAGATTTCCCCTCAGGTTTAAAAGTTGGCTCTCAGTTGGCTTAGGCTTTGGGTCCAAATTCTACACACTCGGGTTGCATTTTTACGCACTTTTTTGAAACCACAAAGGGTTAGAAAGTTGCTTTAACATCATCTCAACTTTAAAATTTATGTTGTGGTCACATATATTGAAGAGCAGGGATTTGATGCAAGTGATCAAATATCTGGAGGCTTACAATTGAGTCATAAGAGTTAGAAATATTGCTTATGGGTAGTCTAGTTCTGGTTTGTTTGGGTTTTATTTCTTGTTTTTAAGAAGTGCTGAAACATTCTGGTCCACATTGCACAAATCCCAAATGTGAACATGAATAAAAACAAGACTTCTTGGAACTTGTGGAACTCATATGGGGCACAAATCCAGAGTATGGGTTTGTTTATTTGCATTCCAGTAGCTCGGAAAACTCAGGCCCTCCAAGTGATGGGAATTGGTAACACATTCTCCTGCTGGCTGCTGCTTCTTGGGCACCTCAGTGCCCAGAGGCTGGCGGCAAACAGGCCTTGCATGTGAGCAAATGTTTGGCATACGTGAGCAAATGTGATAGATAGTGATGTGCTGAAAGCATGGAACCAGATCTCCTTCCTTCCTTCCTTCGTGGACTTTCAGATACAGCTTCCGTTGTTCGCCTGCAGTGGCGGGGGCTGTTTGTGCATGGTGGTTCTTCAAGATTGCTCCTGCTTAAAAACAAAAAGGAATGGGTAGACATCACTATTTCTCTGGTCAGTATTTTCCAGAAATAGATCTGTCAGGTCAGCCAGTGCCTAGTGTTAAATAGGAGCCTCTGCAGTGGCCTGATCTGTGTGCAGCGGCTTTTCTTAGTTCTGGGAGGGGGCTGGAGGTGTGTGGCCATACACATTTCTTCCAGCAGGATACAGGGCTTCTAAAAGTCCTGTATTAACCTGTGTTAACTGGGACAGCACAGCACTGTGCAGAGAGAAAAGCCTGGGCTGAAATTATATTTAGATGTACAGTGCAGAAGTTTGTTTGGGGTAACCATTTTCTCTGTGAACCTGCTTTTGCTCACAATAGAGCACTTCTGGTGCAGCGAGCTGAAGCTTTTCTCTCTTTTGAATCAGTGCCCCCATATGCTGCAGACGTGGCACCTGTGTGTTCAGCCTGTCTGATGGTGGCACTGCCACAGAGAAGTTGTGGCTGTCCCCGAGCCAAGGCTGTCTGACAGAAGATAAGAAAATCCATGGTGAATCCAGAAATGGTGAAAAGAGAAAATAAGTGCTAAGACCCAGCAGTGCTGGTCTTTTTGGGGTAGTGCTCTGTCTTTAGGGCTCGTACAGCACTGGGGAGTTGGAGCAGTTGACTTGTTTATATTTGTATATTTGTTGGAAGAAGGCTGACAGATGACCCATTCAGTAATGAGATCATATTCTTAATTCATGATATGTTTTCCCCCTTCTGACACTGATATCCACCTTTTCCCTTGTCCCATCCTATCCATGGTTATGTTATTTTGTTTCTTTGTGGGTTTTATTTTACTTCTAGATTTGCTACTATTAGTAAAATTGATGTAATACTGTCTTTGCAATCTGTTTTATTTTCTTATTTCTGACCTGTAACACAGTATGAAATTGTTAGCTCTGCACAGATTTTGTCTCCACAAACATGTAAGGTTGTCTTAATTTTTTCAGTTCCTTGCATAAGTTTTAATTTATACTTTTTTATCCATATTACCTAAGATTTGTTATTTTTTTTGCCTTTCTTTTCTGAACTCATTTTTCTTTTCCCATTTTTGTTTCCTCCATCCAGTATCTGCAGATGAAATGGCCACTGCTTGATGTTCAGGCAGGGAGCCTTCAGAGTAGACAAGCCCTCAAGGATGCTAGGTCTCCATCTCCAGCACACATTGTTGTAAGTAAACGCAGAAAGATGTTCTTCCTTTGTTTAAAACAAAAAAAGGCATTTGACATTAATGGCATTGGTTGTCATCAGTTTTCTTTCACACAGACCAAAGGAGAAATACCTCAAAACAAACAGATCCCTAACAAGCCTGTGGTAAAAGGAGGGAATACTTTTGATATCACTGGGCTGTTTATGAAATGATCATCCATGTGCCTTGAAGGGGACCAGGGAGTCAAAAATGCTCTAAATTTACACACTGAAGAATTACATAGTGGCAGTGGAGTCCAGTCAGGCTGGTTTACACATGTGACAGTGTTGAAGTGAAGAGACTGTCTGGAAAGCATTAGGAAAATCAAAACTAAGCCTATTCTATGTCTGTTACTTAAAGAAATCTTTTCTTATTGTAAAGTCTTGGATGGGAGTTTGAGAATAGGTCAGGATTTTTACTGGGGTGAAGGCTCAAAAGAGCCAAGTTCAACAAAGCACATGTTTTTTTGTGTTGTGATGACTTCTCATTTAGTATAAACATAGTTATCAAATGCTTACTGCTACCTGCAAAATCTAACACTCCCTTTATAATGAATAGTATTTTAAAAAATACTATTATATATTAACTTCTAACATAAATTTTCAATTCTTGGTTAATTTTTCTTGTGCTTCTGTTGTGAAAATAATGTTGAGTTTGCAATGTTCAGTACAAATTTACATGAGAGTGGTTTGGGGGTTTATTTTACTTTCTAAAATAGTCCACAGAGATCTAGAAGGAAATGGTTTGTTTATGTGGTGATTTGCAAGAGAGATGATATGCAATGGTCCATCCTCACCTACTGCCAATGTCAGTGCTATCTATTGTTAAGGAGCATCTCAGTTCTCACTATTCATCTGGGAAATTTACCTCTGGAGAGAATGGCATGTAGTGGGTTAGAATATTTCTTCTGAAAAAAATCACCATCAAGTTTAATGTGACTTTTTTTAAAAACTTTTTTACAACCATTGGATGATAAGGTAAATACCAGGAAAAGAAACTACTCATTCTTTACTTTTTGCACAATAGTCTAGAGCTGACACAACTGGTAGATCATCCAAGGCATACATTGGTTTTTCTAGAAATCTCAAATCATACTAAACATTTTGAGGTGCTTCTTTTTCCATTGTTGTCTCTTTAAAATGGGAATTGTCAGCACATTGTGATGAGTGTCACAGTTCTTTATTCAAAAGAAAAAAAAAATATTTCCTATATTTTAGAATCCATAGTTTCTAAACCATCCTTCAATCCATCAGAGAGCAATTGGAACAAGACTGGTATCTGCCCAGTTGATATCTAGTGCTGGCTGCTTCACTTTTTCAGAATTACTTTGCTTTTCCTTCCTGTCCACTTTGGCTGTCACTGGAGGAAGAGATCAGAGAAAAAATGTCTGGCTGGTTAATCAGAGATCTACAGTCATCAAAACCTGCCATCATCCTACTCCTAATAAGAAATGAGCTAGAGAAACTTTCCTGTTTTAATTCTTTTCTTTTTACTGCTGTGTCAGGGGACTGACACAGGGAATGTTCCTGGGGCTCTGCTGTGGTGGAATGGTGTCAGGCTCCTAGGAAGAGATGGGGAGGGAGCAAGAGGCTTCTCCTGGGTGGTTGCAGCTGGGGAGGACAGGATGAGTTCTGCTGGGATCACCTGAGCTTCCCATTGCTGAGCACCCACTGTCCCTGAGCCTCCTGCCCTGCAGGGGAGTGGACACTTGCCTTTGAAACCCAGAGCAGCCTGTGGTGCTGAGGGGTTTGGCTGGGCTCCAGGCTCTCCTGACTCCCTCCAGCTCTTCCACCCAGATTTGGGTAAGGTGGAGATGAGCAGTCAACAAAATATACAGAAAAGGTTCAAAAATCATAATCATTTTGGAAAACGGAGCGAAACCTGCTTCCAGGGAGGCTGAGGTTGATCTGCTTTTGTGTTTTGACCATTTATGGGGTTCTTATGGGTCTCTTTAAAAGCTGTTTCACTCTGCTATTCAATAAAAAGCATATTTACCATAGCAACCACTTAGGCCATGAGGAACATATACTACCTCTGAGATGGAGGCCACTTTCTGAAAGAGCCACAGCTGGCATTTGTAATGTGATCTTTTGTGCTACTTACAATGTTGGGGGGAGAGGAGGCGGAGGAGGGAGTGAGGGGAAGAGCAGTGGGTTTTTGGGAGGGTGGGGGGAGGTTCTGCAAGGTTTAATGTTTATTTCTAGCAGCAAATTGTTTTGCTTTGTTCTGTTAAAATATATAAATAAGGGGCAGCTTTTTCCACCCTTTTTCCTGGCACCAACCCCAAGCCACATTAATTTTGTGGAGTGAAAATGGTCTTTTTTTTTGGGTAAATAAAGTTAGAGCGGGTAAAGGCATTTGGGGGAGATAAAGTGGCTGCAGATGCCAGTTGGCCTGGCATGTGTCAGGCATCTCTGGTGTCCCCGTTGCTGCTGCTGTGCCTGCCCACAGCACCTGGGACCTGGCTGCTCTTGCTCAGGGCTCTCCATCCACTTCTGCATTTGTGAAAACACAGTTAATCTTTTTGTGGAACAGTGATGGGTATTTCATGGGCTTCCTGATGTTTTTGTGCAAGTGTAATGTGTAGGGATAGAAACTGGTTCTCTACCCTGGCTGCTGTGCTTAGTCTACCCATCAAGTGTACCTATGCCTGTTTTTCATCTTCAATTCAGTTGGGCTGCCCTGAAGATCTGTAGGAAAATGCTAACACCTGCAAATCACTTCTTATCTTTCCCCTATCTCTGAAATCAGGATTTGAGGCTAATCTTCATAGGTGGATTACAAAGAGAGGAAAGGAAAGTTTGACGGCTTGGGTCCCCCCCCCCGGTGGAAAAAGGGGGGGTGAAAGAAAAAGGTCCCTCCCCCCTCCCCATTTTTTGGGGGTTCCCCCCCCACCTTGTTTTTTTTAGCACTCTTTCTTCTCAGTGCTTGGCTGTGACAACCACAAGCTCTCTGTTGGCCTTTACTCCCAGTTCCAATGAAACTCCCCTCAGGAGTTCAGCTTAATGACTCAAGGCTGCATAACATGGCTGTCTGTAATGTCTTAAATAAAATCTGTTCTATTTGTCAGCCATCCTCCTTTCAGATTTGTTTAAGAACATTAAGTTAAGACTACAAAAATTGAAGCAAAAGACCAGCATGAATAATTTGGCTGGATTGCTGTCCCCAGTGCCGAGGGCTGGGTTAATACTGCTTTTTCATGGTGCTTGAGAGAGTCTCCAAGGCCCATAATGAGAAACAGAATATTAAACTGAAATTATGTTCAGTATGTCTTGAGGAAGGTACAGCATGAGGCTCCATTTAAGACCAGTGCATTTATTTACATTTAGGTGCTTCACTCATCTGGTAAGACTTTTTGCATCTTGCTCTGGCACAGTCATGCTGCTCATGTGTCCAAAGGTAAAAGAAAACTGGGGGAAAAATTGTTTTAATAGTATATTATTAAACTTGCTATGTCAAAATTTTGAATTCAGCCTGCAGCTAGTACTATTATGAGGCTGGGATATTTTTAATGTGTTTTTTATGGTTATTTCCCCTCTTTTTTTTCTGACCTTTGATTTCATTGAAGGTATTAAGATTTTGTGAAGCAGTCTTAACAAGAAGTTTTGTGTGTAAAGCAGACCCCAGCTGGGTGCCTTGCTCTCAGGGGATGAGGTGCTAGCTGTCCTGAAGTCCCATGGTCAGTGTGCACCCGGTCTGATCCACATGTGTGCTGCCAGCACGCTGATAAGGATGAGGGATGTGTGATGTAGGAGTGGGAATCTCACAGAAACATTTTCTGTTGCAGCCTGGACAGGCAAATGAAAATGAGCAAGGTATGTCAGTGTGAGGATCTCCGAAATCTGCTCACTGCACAAAGCAAGCTCCTTTAAAACCCTTTTTATCTGTGTGCATTCCTACAACCTTATTAGAGAAAACAAGTGCTGCTCTTCCCTGTTCTCTGCAAAGTAAATACTCTGACTTGGCCATACCCTGTTTGGGGCAGGAGTGTGGGTGAAAGACCAGTCCTGGGGTCCTGTCTCCTGCAGGCTGTGCAAAGACTTGCCTTTAGTTTCCTTTGTGCCTGGCAGAAACATTCAGAACCCAAGATGATGGTGGCTCAGTACAATATATTCCTCATAAAACACTAAGGGGTTTAAAAAATTCCTGAATTTTGAAGTAAATGTCAATGTTAACCTCGGGAGGAGGACTTCCAGTACTTTTTGGCCTAATATGTAAGGAACACAGCCATATAGTAGACTGAATCACCAAGAACAAAGAATCACTGTGCAGTGGTGTATCTATTTTTTTTTCTTTTCCTTTTTTTCTTCTTTTTTTTTTTTTTTTAAAGTAGAAATGTTTTTTCAAAACATAATGTGACAAGCAAAACTGAAGGCAAAACCATCTGAAAGGTACTGACTGTTCTCAGCCTCTTCAATGAGCGTGGACAGCAGGCGTCTGGGGCCTCTGGGTGGTTTGGAGAGATCAGGAGTTTTTTATCCCAGAGAGACTGGACTAGAAGCTGCACAGTTTGCTCTGTCCATTCCCTAATTTTTTTTGTCTAATGTGGTTTGTACTTCTGCATTTTAAAGAAAAAAAACCCCAAATGCCTACTAGCAACAATTAGGTTGATGTTAGGCAGATTTTAAAATGCAGATTGTCACTCCATACATATGTCCTGTATGTGTGGAACCACCTGGAACCATCATCTTGTAGCCTCCACTCAGAGTGCTCCAAGAGGGCTTTTAAAGCTCTTGCTTTGTCTTTACTGTTTTGTGGTAGGAAGACTGTCCTTCCTCTGCAGTAACCCCTTGAGATGTTTGTGGATTCCAGGCTGCCTGCAGCCATGATGGGACACCCTCTTGTGTCCCTGGAGATCTGCAGGGTGATCAGGAACAGGTGGTGCTGTGGGGGGAAGGATTTGGCTGGCATCACTGATATCAGTGCCTGGTGGGGAGAGGGACACGCTGTGGGCAGGAGGAGAGGGCTGTGCCTGAGCTGT